TAATGGCAAGAACAGACAACAAACTTTGACGGGTGGAAAGAAGGAAAATCTAGGATTTTTAAACGGAATTAAATATATGGAAGTTGATTATGATTTCCACTAAGAGTTGTAGATGACGTCTAATTATTTTTGAAAAAATGGATGCTCACGTTAAATAAACGTCCCCTTGAAACCCTAGTCGCCCTTTGAAAGGGGGAGTATATAAGGTATTTCTCCGGCCTTCCTAGCGTGTCTTCTTGGTTTAGTGGTTCTGTACGCTGGGCCGGTATTCCAGTGGTCAGTGGTTCGATTCCTGGCGAAAGCGATTGCCCATTTTTCATCTTGCCTGCTTCCAAAAAATACCTAAAAGTCTCTGCTAATTCCTCCACGAAAGCATCCCATAACTGTCGGGCAGTTCCCGGTCTCCTAGCTTTTAATTTTTAGCTTTTTGTTAAGAAAAGTTTTTCCCAGCAATAAATGAAATTTATTGAAATATTGAAACTTAAAATATACAAATTCCATTGCGTCTTTCTTACTGATTTTCAGCGGGATTTTTCTTGTTAAATTTTATTAAATCTAAATTATCTTAATTTACGGTAGACATCTGTAGAATTTTTTATGAAGATTCAACGGTGTTTAAGCACTTAATATTTATACTTAATTTTGTTTTACGTCAATATTTGGTACGTTGCTATGTTTAACTAATGTGCACAGCAGACAATAGTGTGTACATTAGTTATTAATTTTATTTTCATTGTACTTAAAAGTTCTTTGTTAGCTAAAGCTTTCTTTGTAGATTCAGAATTTTTACAAGGGAAATTAGTCGAACATGAAATTTAGCATATATAATTATAAATTTTTAAATATTTGTATTTTGAAATCATATTTAAAAGTTCAATAGCCTAAATTATGCATTATAAAGTGAATTTACATCAGTTTGGATTAGCCTAAAATATGCATTATAAAGTGAATTTACATCAGTTTGGATTTCTTTTAAAATGGTGTCCCCGCGCAGCACGGAAACCTTCCCGAAATTCTCGGTTTTGGCTCGAGAACCTCGTGGTTTTCCATATTATAAAGGTGGCAGCTATAGTATGGCTTGAGCCTTGAGCAAATAGTTCCGTGCTTGCTTTGCCGTTATCTAAATTTCAAAATAACCTAATGACTCTACAAGCTTTAGATACATAAAATGATAACCGAATTTGATACAGCATAAGGAGTATATTCATTCACCTATCTGGATGACATGACCCACACCTGTAAAGTTTCAAACTCCTGTGTCTAATGAGCGTTAATTGACGGATTGGATTAATTAAATTATGGCAAAGTACTTGATGGATACCTGCCTAAGAGAAGAAATGCCTTCGTGAAGGACTTTTTATACGAAATACCCTCGTATCCACTTACGCATTGAAGGGGGGGAAAAAACCCTGGAAAATGCCCATGCATCTTAGCCCATCAGTCAGAATTTGAACTCTGATCGAATACCAGTGTTCAGGGATCTTACCGCTTGACCGCTGATGTACCCTGGCTGTTATGGACTTCGAGATATTTTTGGCAAGACATTGAATGCACAGTGGTAATTATGCTTCAGACATATAATTCATGCATCTATTATTACAACTCCCTCCCCAAAAGAAATCACTTCTAAAGGAATATTCCATCAGTATCCCCCCTCCCACAGAAGGATGTGTTTATAACTTGAAAGCTGTTGAAAATTTCTGTAACTTCGTAGAATTCAGCTCTTTTAATGTTTTCAAGAAACTGCATTAACAGAAGTCGCATAAAATTGCTTGAAGGTTCCGCGTTGTATGAGAATTATTAGAGTTTGGAAACCTGGTTATACTGAAAACGCGCAGTGCGAAGGTTTCTTGAAAAATGTATTCGCCGCACCAGCAAAAGTAATTACCCGGCCTTTATTTTTTGTCGCCGAACTTTATAGACATATAGTTACAAAAAAAGTTTTAAGTAACGCATATATTCTTATTTGGGCTTTTTTAAATTAAAAAATCTGATGTGTGCACCACATAACTTCCTTGTACGGAATATTAAATTGTACTCATTTTTTCTTGCATTTCATTTAAACTTATTGGATTCAACTAAATCTGCTTCGTCAACAGCGCATAAACCACAACAGAATAAATGCATTCTTTAAAATTCACTCTATTTGTTTACCATAGCGACACTCTGGCGCTAGATTCACTTAACAGCGTTATATTTCGTTCATACCATAACTCAGAATGCACAAAATTGATATCATTTGAAGAACTATCTAATCATTGCCACATGTTCTATTCAAATACTCTAATATATCTAGAATGATGTATAAAAAAAGTAAGCAAACAAAACAAAAAAGAAACAGTTTCTCACACGATTGAATGTTTCTCATTCAATTAATTCATTTCTCACTTCGCGAGAAGGCAAAAATACATAAAAACTCAAAATATCTATATTAAAAATTACGAAGTAAATCTTAAACACTTATTTCCTCGAAAAAATTCCAGAAAGGATTAAGCATGATTTAATTCACAATAATAAATGAAGGCGTTATCTTTGTTGTTGCGAAGCTAAGTTTCTCTAGATTGGGAACAAATCCACTAGTCTGCTGTTTCAAATGTAAACAATCAATGGCCGCCATAAAAAAGCTTATTAGCGGCACTTAAACAACTTTAAAATTGCTTGATAATTCTAAAAATATTGCATACAGATTTACTAAGGCATAAAAACCTTAACCGGAACGATAAGAACAACATAATTCAATCATTTTTAAAGCAAAAAATGTACAATTTACAAACATATAAGAGTAAAGAAACTGAGATCACTGAGCCGGGTAACAGTGTGGATATATATATAAATATATTTATATACGTTTGGTGCGGCCGACTTTAACCAAAATATGAGGTGCACATCTACATGTTGTAGCAATCCTATATACAAAATATCAACGTTCTGAGGCTACTCATTTTTGAGTTATCCGAGATACTTACGTACGTACAGATGCCACGAAAAATTCTCTTCAGAATTCATTTTAAAGCAGTTTTATAATTTTTTTAGAGGAAAATAGTCTTTTATTCTGTCCTTACGTACAGATATCACGCAAAAACATCGTTAAATTGCATTCGAAAGCGGTCAAAATGAATATTTTCGTTGAAATATGCTGCCTGAAACTTTTCGCTATTGCAATACTTCCTTTTTACTTCGTACAAGGAAGTAAAAAGTGAGATTTTATAAAAATTGTGAAATATAACTTCTTTATTAAATCCTGCAAACCTTATATTTTTTTTAGGAAAATTTTTTACTCATAAAAAATAAAGCACGCAAATTTTGACTTCTGAACGACCAAGTATTGACCGAAATATTTAGCTTTAAAATTTGGAATGTTTGACTTAATTTCCAATTTGAATTGAAGGACCGGTTATTCAATAAGTTAGGATAATCTGTGAATGATTAATTTCCTTTTTAATACCATTCAGTAATATTCTTTTGTGATTTTACAATCTTTAATTTGTAATTTTGTGACATTCGGTAAACGAAAGAATTTTCGCACGAGTAATTTTTAAGTGTAAAACTACGTTAGTAATAGTCACATGAAGTTTCATTACTTTACAGTCATAATCTGCTACTAATCATAGTCTACAAGAAATTCATTGATATACAAATATTTTTCATTTTGAATTTATTCAAATAGTATTATAAGTTGTACATTACATTACTAATACATGCTAATGTTTTCTAAAATAGAATTCTGTAAGATTACGTGAATAAGATCTTGTTTTTGAAAAAAAATTACATTCGTCAATATTTTTCACAACAATCTTATAGAAATGCTCCTCACTTAGTCTGTTAACTTCAGAAACCTTTTTCTAAACAAATGTTTTATTTTTAATTGCGTACAACATTTCGTTTTTTAATATTGTATACGGTCCCTGAATATGATTGTCAGCTTCAGAATTAAATATCGCTATCGGTTTCTGTCACATAGCAGTCACACTTTTTGCGTTTTATTGTGTAGTGAGTATAAAATATCCTTATACAAAAGTGTAGGGACTGGGTGAACGTATAGAAAGTTGGATTTAATAATTTTTAATAAAACTGTTTTTAGTCCAAAGGGATTTGAATCCCGAAGGACTATTAGTTTCGTTTTGGCATTTTGCGTCGGACGGATAAATGTCGGTTCACTTTTCAAACTGTTGCCATAAAATGTTAGAGTCCTGCATTATATTTGAAGAAATTAAATAATGAAAATCTGCGTAAATGTATGTATATTTCTCACATTGTCATAAAATAACGGTACATAGAGTCATCGAATTTTGAATAACGTAATCCTCCAACGAATATGAGCATGTGGAAGACCAAATTTGAAATTTGAAATTTGTTTTATGATCGATTTCCTATTTTTTAAAACTTTGACGAATTTTTGATTAACAAACTCAAGGATTTCAAAGCGAGCAATGGCAACGTTGTGCAGAAAAAACATTTTTATCTCCAGCGCGTGAGTCTCTGTATCGGAAATTCTAAAGATAGGCTCGTTTTAAAACTATTTTGCGATATTGCTGTTGCACTGGATCTTATGGTTTAAGTGCGAGGAACATGATATTTAATAAAGAAAGGTAACACACAAAATGTTAAAAAACGCCCCTTTGGACGTAATTTAAAATCTGAAACATTTCAGATTTTTTTTTTTTTTAAATCTTTTTTTTTTTTTTTTTTTTTTTTAAATTTAAAAATGCCAAAATTTAAAAAGAATATTTGCGTCGTTTCAAATATTTTTGCAGCTGAGCTCAAATATGTCTACGATCAATTGTACGGAAAATAAAAGCTGGATAAAGACTCCTGTGGACATGGTGTGTGTTTTATTTAGAAAGGAATTTTGTATTTACATATTTACTCGTAATAAAATTTAGTGTGAATTATATTAATAGTATTTAGTGAGTTAAATGGAAGGTTTCTTATGTTCTTTTTATATTTAAAGCACAGTTGTCAGTTAGTGAATTCTTCATTTATTTTTTTTCTTTTTGTAGGACCTGGAGCCCCCACCCATGGCTCGAAATGAAAGGGCAGGTAATTGTTGGTCCCAGCCTCGGCGATCAACACCTGTCAAGGTGAAAAGGAAATCTTTTATGTTTATAGCAGCATAATTTTGCATGTTGATCAGCATTCTTTTAGCTCATTTTTTTCTTTTGGTTAACTTATTTCACATCTAGTAATCTGTAATATGTTTTTCTCCTATTTGTCAGGATGTTTAATTAATTAAATAATGTTGTGTTTGATTAATTATCTATTACGCGGTCGTCGTAGTTATGCTTTATCGGATTTAGTGTGATCTTTGTGCATTGAATGCTTATTACTAAGTTTGAATATTCTCAGAGAATATGTATTAAATTATTAAGAAATGAAAAAAATTGTAAATTAGCTATGAAGGTAACTGAATTTTTCGTGACAGGGGCAGACAGTATGTACTAAAAGGAAATTATTTGGTAGATTTGTATATTTGATCTACTTTATGCCCGAAGACGATAATTTGTGGCAACAATTGCAATTAATCTATCTTAGAATACATTTCAAAAGAAAGGAAAATGAAGCTGATGCTAAAACATTATCGAACTATGATTTTCTATTTTAAATTGGGGCTAAATCAAGGAGAATGACTTCAACGTCTGCAATTAAAGTATGCAAATGAAACTTCATCTCATGGCACTGTGTTCAGATCTTTTAAAGTATTTCATAGAGCTCGATGGATCCTGGATGAAGAACATATAAGAAGTCCTTTGACTGATATAGTCCCAGGAAATGTGCCCGCTATATGAAAAACTTTAATTAGTGATAATCCCAATACCTACCAAATGATAAAGAAATAACTTAGCATTGGATCCGCAGCTATGCATAAAGTTGTTCGTGAAGAACTGCTTATGAAGAAAATTAGGTTGTCGTTGGGTCCGTGGTTAATTAAAGAAACCAAAAAACTTAAGTCTGTCAGATTCAGTAAAGATTATATTGGATTCAGTGAAGAAACCCTAGAATTACTTAACGATGGTGAACCAGGCGATTATTTCTAAAATCATAACTGGTGATAAAGGCTACGTACTGTGTTTTCGCCTTGCAACACTTAAGAAAGTAAGGTGTAGGTCTTTGAAGATGCTCCAAATCAACAACGTTAAAAAGACATCGACCAACAAAAAAGCAATGTATTCCAGTTTCTTCTGGTCTGGAAAGAAGTGAGTTAGAGCTAACTGGTTCAACACCTACGGTCTTCCAAAAAATTCTTTAAGAAGTGAAAACTAAGGTACTCATGGCTTCACCATGATAAATACATCTTCTCATTCATTGACAGTTGAATTTCGTTAACATATCGATTCTATTCTCCTGATTTTGCTATGTATGAGTTTTAGCCATTATGGTAATCTAAACACTTACACTGAAGTGACAAAAGTCATGAGATAACAATATGCAAATATACAGATGGCAGTAGTATCGCGTAGAAAATGTATAAATGCGAAGTGCTTTGGCAGGGCTTTCTTTTGTGTACAAGTTATTCATGTGAAGACGCTTTGACATGATTATGGCTGCACGACGAGAATTAACAGACTTTGAACGCGGAATGGTAGTTGGAGCTAGACGCATGGGTCATTCCATTTCGGATATCGTTAGGGAATTCAACATTCCGAGATTCCGAGAGTATCTAATTTCAGGCATAACATCCCACCATGGACAGCGCAGTGGCCGACCACCTGCACTTAACGACCGAGACCAGCGACGTCTGCGTAGAGTTGTTAGTGTTCACAGACAAGCAACACTGCGTCAAATAACCGCAGAAATCAATGTGGGACGTACGAGGGACGTGTCCGATAAGACAGTGCGGCGAAATTTGTCATCCTTGGGCTATGCCAGCAGAAGACCGACTTGAGTGCCTTTACTGACAGCCCGACATCGCCTGCAGCGACTCTCGTGGGCTCGTGAGCATATCGGTTGGTCCTTAAACGAATGGAAAACCGTGGCTTGGTCAGGTGAGTCACGATTTCAGTTGGTAAGAGCTGATGGTAGGGTTCGAGTGTGGCGCAGAACCCACGAAGCCATGGACCCAAGTTGTCAACAAGGCACTGTTTAAGCTGGTGGTGGTTCCATAATAGTCTGGGCTGTTTATACATGGCATGGACTCGGTCCTCTGGTGCAACTGAACCGATCATTGACTGGAAATGGATACCTTCACCTACGTGGAGATCACTTACAGCCATTCATGGACTTCACGTACTCAAACAACGATGGGATTTTTATGGATGACAATGCGCCATGTCACCGGGCCACAATTGTTCGCGATTGGTTAGAAGAACATTCTGGACAATTCCAGCGAATGATCTGGCCACCCAGATCGCCCGACATGAATCCCATCGAACATTTATGGGACATCATCGAGAGGTCAGTTCGTGCCCAAAACCCTGCACCCTCACACTTTCACAATTATGGACGTCTATAGAGGCAGCATGGCTCAATATTCCTGCAGGGGACTTCCAACGACTTGTTGAGTCCATGCCACCTCGAGTTGCTGCACTTCGCCGGGCAAAAGGAGGACCGGCAAAATATTAGACTTTTGTCACTTCAGTGTATGTCGCTGTCGTTTTCATTTCGAAGATGAGATTAATAAGATTGCATAAAAGACTATTTTTTCATCTATTTCAAGAAATGAGTACTGAAGCATTTCGACTTTGGCAAATTCGCCTACAAAAATGCATTCATGTTGGAGGGGATTACTTTGAGCACTCCTAAGATTTGTAAGTTTAATTTTAAAATTTAATAAGGTATTTTCCCCTCATTCTTAGCATGCCTTCGTGCTGTAGTGGTCAGCACATTCAGCTCGTATTCGAGAGGTTCGTGGTTCGAGTCCGTGTGAGGGCATTGCTCATTTTCCATGTCTCCTGCGTCGAAATCTCAAAAATTTCAGAGCGAGTTTCATATTAATTAACTAAAAAGATGGTGAAAAAGCCTCCATCCATTTATATGAGCCCGCAGTATTTCATATTTTGAAAATATGTAAAATCCTTTATTTTGCATTTCAGATTTCTAATAGTAAGATTTAAGAAATCTCCTGATTCATTCAGTTATGCATCCCTTCTAAAAAACAGAGAGCATCAGTGTGGTAAAGCTGTTTATCACATTGATGGAGGGGGGGAGTTTACCACTAATAGTTTCGTTCCGGTTTCCATCGCCGTGGGCATTCAGTTGACTTCGTGAAGTTTCTTGTTTATTTAAAGCAGATATCCCCACTCACCTTAATTCACTAATTCCGCGATTGCGTTTTAGCTTCCCCCCCTTTGCTGAGATCAAAAAGTAATTAAGTGTATAGTACTTTCTATCGCTCGACATCACGAACCCTTTTGTCCAGAGTAGATTGACAGTAAATTCTAATCACTGGCGAGTTCGTACAGGTGTTAACTTTTATCGGTTTGATGAATTCTGTTAAAATTTTTCTAAATATTTACTGAACCTTTCGTATTTGTTCACATTGAATTTGACTGAAGTATTTTCTGAGGGGAGCATGAAATAAATATGACGATAAATAGAATTATAGGAGATTACCGAATCGTCGGTTTTTTTTTAATTTTCAGCCTTTACTAAGGAAAATGTTTTCTACCAGTAAATGTAGTAAATAATCATTAGGTTTATTTCGAAACAGTAGATAAGAAAAATCTACAACGCCCTTGCTGGACGTGAAATTCGGACTTTCCGAATCCCAGCCAGACAGCTTGAAGACATGCCATAAGGAAGGAGAATATTCCTTATATTTTCTTCCATTGAAAGGGTAATTGGAGAGGAGGAGACTCAGTCGCCAAATCAAGGTGGCGGCGAATTGATGTCTTCTACGTTTTTAGTTCGGGCGCCACTTGAATAGTCATTAGTTTTATTTCGCAGCAGAAAGCATGAAAAATTACCAATTCTGTTGCCGGGTTTCCAATTCAGGACCTCCGACTGCCAACCGAACATGCTTCCAGTAAGACTAGGTACGAGTAGTTAGGTCGAGTGACCAGAATTTCTCCATTGGTCGTACAGGTATAATCCGCCACATTAACTGTGTATTTCCGTCTCAGTTTTGATTCAGAACAGCCCGAGTGTTAGATCCCAGGGTTCACTAGACCGCTTGAGAAGCCTTTCGTTCCCTCATGCCGCACAGACACTATACGCATAACCAAGCATTCTTCAAGATCCGAAGCCGTATTTAGCGATACAGCAGCCACTATTGCTAGCCATCATACCGATCAAGGCAGCTTTAGTTACACTACGAAGGCATGTGCTAAGGAAGTACAAAATTCTTTACATGTGAAATTTATTGAATTAATGGAACACTTAAACTGTGCAAATTCCAGTCCCACACCCGTATGATTTTCAACCTATTTTTTTCTTATTAATGGGTCTGAATTATCTTTATCCTCTGCGAACATTTGTAAGACTTTTTTTTGAAGATTCGGTTAATGTTTAATCGGTTAATATTTGTATACAATTTTACTTTGCATCAGTAAGTGGTACATTACTGAGTTTATCCACGCAGTAGTGTATGTATTAATTATTAATTGTATTTTCGTGTATTTAAAAGTACTTTTAAAAATTATAAGTTTCTCTTTCTTGTTCTAGATTTTTTGCGGTTTAAAGAAAGGTAAGATCATTACAGAATGACATTTCACAAGGCATAGAATATCTAGTTAAATATTAACATATCGAATTTCAAAATATCATTATAAATTGTTCAGTAAACTAAATTCTGCATTATAAAGTAAATTTAAATCAGTTTGGAGTTCTTCATGACGTCATCGCGCAGCTCGAAAACCTCCCGGAAACTTACGGTTTTTCATATTTAAAGCCTGGCAGGTATGAATTATTATTATTAATCTCTTACGCACGTAACATTGCAGAAGAAGCTTCGAAATGTACGCGTTCAAAATGCTTAAAATAGCTGCTGGTACATCAATTCATTTAACATTATACGTGTACTGACGCGGATGGAGCTGGTGTGGCTGACGCGGTCAGTCTTCAACAATATACTGGCACCTTTTTTGCAAATTGTTTCTTATTTGCCAAGACACAACGGTGTTCCAATATAAAGACACAAAGGCAC